GGCCATCGCTACTAGGAGCAAGGACGCTACTAGGTGGAGGCCATCGCGTACAGTAGGTTGGAGGCCATCGCTACTAGGAGCAAGGACTCTACTTAGCGCAAGCTATCCTGCATACTGTCAGTAGTAGCTACTTGTAGGTACTAGCCAGGTACTACTTCTACGGCCTACCCCCCCGCGCGTGCGCAGAAAGCTCCTACTAGCTAGCTACTGTACCTCCCTAGCGGCCTACCCCCTCCCACTCGGGCGTCTCCGGGCCTGGCCGGTCCACGGAGACGTGAATTGCCCCTGGCGCATCTGCTCCGTCTCCGGCGTCCCGTTCTCCCAGGCGCCGGTCTTCGGAGCACCGCGCGCTGTCAAGGGCGGAGGCTCGTGACCTCGCGTGGCGCGTGGCGCGCGGCGGTCGCGGTTGTTCCTAGTAGCTTATTGTTTCCAATAGCTTCTTGTTACTACTAGTAAGGCACTTGTTACTAGTAGCGATGCACTTGTTCCTAGTAGCTTCTTGATACTAGTAGTAAGGATGCTCCGTTCGTAGCGATGCCAGGAGCCCCTAGTAGCGTTTGTTTTTCCCGGGAAACATCAGGGGATGTGCAAGACCTTTTCTTTTTTCCTTCGCTTCCTTCCTTTCACTGCACTCAAAGCGGGAGGAAAGAAAGATCGCACCCTATGCCTCCTTTCTACTTTCATTTATACATGTCATCTACCACGCCTTTTCAGCTAGCCTCTTGTTGAATATGCAAGATTTGCAATTGCTTAGCTTGGCAGACATTGCAATTGTGTGAAACCTGGTCGCACGGGAGCCGTTCACATTCTACAGTGACCCTCACAGGGTCTCACACTAAAATTGCTGGTACAATGAAATTGTAGATCTGCATCCAAGCTGCGATTCGGAACATAAGGCGATCGGAACTTCTCCAATCGCCGTTCCCGCTCGGCCTAACGCTTGGCATCGTCCTTTTGCAGTGCTCGCTCTCTCTTCTTGCTACGTTTGCTCTGTCTCTCCCTGCCTTTTTGGCACGCTTCTGCTCTCGCACTGCAGGACCCGATGGACCTAGAAGAGGATCAATGTGAGTGTCAATACAGGTGACCAGCTAGAGAATGAACGCGAGTGTCAAACAAATGAATATGCAGAATGAGGAGGGACAAGGGAAAAGGGGTTGAAACCAGGTAACATCAACATTCATCTTCATAAAAGGTACTATATATATATAACTTATATAACAAATCATTCATAAATCATCATAAATCATAACTGTCTGTGTGCTTCACCAACGTTCCTTGGTCAAACCATCGTTGCCTCCTGGACTCCTCCGAGCACGGCGAGCCGTGTGCGAGGCCAAAGCTGCCAAGACACCTTCGGTCTGGACTCGAGGTGTGCGTTCCCATCTTTCAGGCTTATCTACTTCACATGCAAACGTACATTATATATACAAGATTTCCCGACCCTTACGTTATGAAACATTACTAAACGTATATCATACAAAATCATATTCTCAAAACTTGTCATTGACAATGTGAGATCCTCCGCGTCGTGTCAGCGGCCAATCCACCCGGGACGGACCCACACCTACGCCAGGTCCCCAGGTGGGCTGCCACTTACCGGTCCAACGGCTGCGAAGAGGCGCTGCCGACGCGGATCCCCTGAAACCAAAAGGGTTGCGGATCTTTTGAAACAAAAATGCACAAGGACGCTACTCCTGGCATCGCTAGGGCGCTACTTGGGGCTCCTGGCCATACTACTAGGAGCAAGGACGCTACTAGTAATAAGGGCATCGCTACTAGTGTTCCAGCTTCTCTGTCTTTATACTCAGACTGCAAGAATGTACTCAGTCCAAGGTACTCCGCCCAAACCGCGGTGTTCGCAGCGTTCCCGGAACTCGTAGCAACTCGCGGCGCTTCGAGGGAAGGCACTGGGGCGAACATGGCCTGGGAAGCACTGGAAACAGCTTTGTTTCGGCCTCTTCTGCTGAGGGCGAAGCCAATTCCAAGGAGTACAACCCGGACAAAACAAGAAGTCGCTGGATATATATATATATATATATACTTTTTGTATTTACAGTATAACTTTCTTTGTTACGGTCTTGAATTTGAAGAGCCTTGATGCAAGGAGTATATTAGAAAGAAATAGAAAGAACATGTCAAAGGTTAGTGAGGTCAAAAATCTAAGCGGGGCCAAGTTCGGGACCCCTGCAGCGGGATGTGTGGGAAGAGTCGTAGCGGTTGTTGCTGCTGTTCAGTCAAAATGTTCAATTGGTTGTCGTTCAAATTCGGAGGGTCCGCTGCGCATGTGTCAAAGAAACAGACTGCATGTGTCATCCTCCCAACTGCTGAAGCGGACCCACAAATGTCTCTGGCTCTGTTCATCTGAAGTTGAAAGAGCAAAGCAAACAGTTTCCTTAAAGGACTCTCGATGCACATGCATCATATCCATGGCTTCAAATGTTGCTGAGCCTCTGGCAAAGCAGGAGCACAGGAGCACGAAACGGGAATGCTAATTAATACAGTCAAATGTCTCTTCTTGCTAGCTCTTGATCATGGTTGACTAGTGACCAGAGTTCAGGACGAGCCCAGTCCAGTGCAGCTTTAGGCTTGTAAAAACGGAACTCAGAATCTGGGTCAGCCTTATATGCGGTATTCGGGATGAAATGGGCACCCGGGATTCATATGGATTCAAGAAGCTATTAGAAACAAGTGCCACGCTAATGGATTCATTGTGATATTGAGCCAAATCTACGCCACTCATCTTCACGGCCGTCCTGACATCTCGGACAAATAGAGTCACCACAATTGTAAATGAGTGAAGTCACCACCTTGGGGATGAAATGAGTTATGGTAAGGTACCCTCTCCGATGTTTGTAGGAGAAATATGAGAAATCCAAATCCCAAAATGAGATGATGAGTGCACCCTCTTTGGGGCTCGAGTCACCTCTTTGCCTCACGGGTCCAGTCCTCTCCTGCAAAATGTTCTGCGAGGATGGAACATTTGGCACTGAGGACTGAGGACAAAGCCGAATTGAATCGGCAGCACAACTTTCTTTGGGAGGCTGCAAGTTGTTTCATGGACCACTTCACCCCTATATAAATGTGTGATTTCGCACTTTTTCAGTGGGCGAAAACGAAGCAATGATGTACAAATGAAACTTGAACATCTTGAAATTGCCGCAGGGTCAGTTGTTGCTGCATCCATCGATCTAGCAACCCGTCCAATTATGCTTTCAACGATTGCCGACGCCCATGTGGCAACTCTATGCAGGCTCACTGCCCTGAGTCACATGAAGAAGGAATAGGTGCTTTGTCCCAAGGCGTGGCCTGGACAAAACAAAAGGAAATTGTGAATGCCTGGTGGATACTACAAACACATAGCACACGGATCTGGAGGTAGTTAACTACACTGAATCGTGCGCAGGATTCAAGTCTTGTGACAAATCTCAATTGCAACACTTCAAGTCCCGATAAAATCGAAGATCCAATGATTGCCCAAATACTGGGATCGTGACCCCATAGGCTATTCAATAGAGTCTTTGTGTGTGTGATGTGAAAGCACAAAATAATCAGCAAATTTAATTCAAGGACCACAAGGAAAATTGTCACACACACAGTACCATGTCACTAAGCTGTAGGCTGTAGTCTATGCTGGAGATCAAACTCTTCATCAGTCTTCACCTTCTGGGCGATTCTCGGCCTGCGAAGTGGCAAGTGTACCAATTGACAGTCTAATCATTGCCAAGCCTCGACCTGAAACTGTTCAGAGCACCATTTCCTAACAGCCTCACGTGGACGGAGGCCCTGGTGAACGAATTCGGGTCGGCCTTGGGTACTAATCGGCCATCGGAAACCTCTCGTCAGACAAATCCATCAACGCTTGTTGCGCTCCACCTGCAGTGAGTGGTTGAGATTGGAAGACGCGACCGGGAGATTGAGATTCTCAGATTCAGATTTTTTCCAGACTTCCAGTCTCGGCACTTCTCAGCTATGTTTAGAAAATACCTGTCACTGTCGAGTCAACCATCCAAAAGCTAGGCTTTTGGGTGGCTGAGGTTCGGACGAGCCACAGAACTGGTGCTTTAACGGCGTCAATTGCCTGTCCGTTGTTCTGTTTTTCCAGCGGAGCGGGGTTCTCACTTCATGGGGTTCTTAGTTTGGGAAAAGGTGCCGTCGTGTGCGCTTTGGAGCGGTGCCGGTGGGTGCCGCTGCCAAATGTCGGCCGTGCGCGGTTTGGAGTCTGGGTGCTCCTGCCGCTAGGGTGCAGCTGCAAGGTGCTGCTTTGGAGCTTGGATGCTGGTGCCGCTGTAGGTGCTGCTGTTCAGTGCGTGGTTTAGTTTTGCTGTCTGTTGTCTATGCTGGTCTAATTCTTAGTCTGTCACAATGCTTTGGGTAGCTATCAACACTTGCAAATTCAATGAGCCATTTGACAGCTGAAGGACCAGCATACACTAGCATGGTAGTTGTACAGTAAGAATCCAGAGACGAGATCTGTAATAGATGGATATCTGAAACTGATAATTATGAATCATCTTATCATATCTTATCTTTTATGATACACATCGGCAGAATTCGAAGTCCCACAGTGTCTGTCCTGCTGTGCTCCGTCGTGGCTGTCGGGCCGTGGCCGTTGCCAAGCTCCAGGAGGTTGCTGCGAGGCCCAGCGTCTCCACCTCATGGCTCCTGGCAGTCTGAAGCGTGTCAGGAGTACCTAAATGGTGGTTCAATGCCGAATCCTGCATCCAGCTTTCTCAAAGCTTTCAGTGTCTACCGAAACGGATTAGAAGTGTGGACTTTCTCGGAATGGAAGGACTGCACCTGGACTCTCTAAAGAACATGCTGTTCCAATACGGTCAAATGCATTTTTTTGCTTTTTTCCACTAGGGTCAAATACTCGACCCGTGTCTTCACATGCAAAATCCCGTCGAATCACTCCTTTGCAGCACTTCATTGGACCAACGGGTCAACGTCGGAATGAAGTGGTTAACTCCGCTCCAAGACATCGCTGCAAAGGACCAAATCAGGTTGCCTGGTCTTTAAAACAAAGTACGGCGGGCTCCGGGTTGGTTCAGGCAACTTCAGTGAAACATTTACAGTGGGGCCTTACTACTGGTAACAATAAGCTACTAGGGGCTCCTGGCCTTACTACTAGGAGCAAGGACGCTACTAGGGGCTCGTTGCTCTAAACCCCACGACGTCATTGAGATGGGGGTCCATGTAAACCACCAAACTTGATGGTGCCATCTAGGTACTCCGTATACGAAGCTACTAGTAGCGGCTAGAAGCTACTATAGGTTGACCAGAGGCCATCGCTCTTAAGCCGGAGGCCATCGCTACTAGGGTGGAGGCCATCGCTAGTAGGCACCTCCTTAATTAAAGGAGAGGTACCAGGTAGCTAGTACGGTCAATGAGGTCAGCTTGTAGCCAGGGAGCACAAATGCTGAGGTGTCATTTCTGAAGAGATCTTCCTCAGCCGTGCTCTGCAGCATCAAGAAACCAATACATCCATCGCGGCACCGATGCTCATCCGAACCAATCAACACTGACAAACAAGTAATTGCTCATCGCTCAACGAACAAGGAGCACCCTGAACCATAAAAAGGATGGGCCTCCAACTCCAACCTAAAAGCGATGGCCTCCACCCCCTAGTAGCGATGGCCTCCAACCTAATGGCAACGGTTTCTTGAAGGGCATGTTGTGGGAACCGATATATGCTCTCTACAGTGATCCGATCGCCCGTCCTCGCCTTTGAGCTGCCACAGCGATCGCCACGACCAATGGTTCGTTGGTCACAAGCTGAATGGCCATGGCCTCAAGAACAAGGCAAAGGTCCAAGAACGATGGAAAAACATAGAGCACTGAGCGCGGACAAGTAAAGGCAGAAGTTGCCAGTTGAAGTTTGCATGAAGTACAGCCATGGGTGTGACAGTCGCTTTCCTTTTCCAACGGCAACTTGTGCCTCACAAATGGGATTCTGAACAATAGAAGAACAACCCAGCCAAGAAACTCTGCATTGAGTTGGGCAAAGTATATGCGTTGGCCATGGGCCATGTTCCAAATAGTATGTTAGCGACGCAAAAACGGGCACCAGTAATGAGATCAACAATGACCTCCACCTGTCCTTAAGTATAAAGAGGTTCTGACCAGTCACCCAAGCAAGGTTCGACAAATCTTGTGCTCCAAAGTAGGTCAAATCAGCGCCAATGTCCTCAAAGAACGTTCGGTTGCCTAGGCAGTGCATCCGCACTCAGGCAAATGTCCATCGCGTGCGTGGTCTTATAGGAAGAAAGGAGTCTTGAGATATCTTGAGGCCATTTGAACTGTGACGTCAAAGGGGGTAAGATAAAGTCTTGTTGTTTAGATCGAAACAAAACCCAAGAACTCTGTTGTTTCGTCTTCTTTTTTGTCAGAGTTCTTGTTGCATCCAAAGGACCAACGAAGTGCCAAAAGGCCAAAACCCAAGCACCCAAAGCCATGTCCTGACGCCGACACCCTGGCCCTACAAGTTAGCCATCACGTAAACATTTGCCCAAGAAGTTGTGCGCTCGCTAAATGAATTGTATCAATTAAGTGTTCTCTGGGGCTTTCTCCATTTCAAAACTGACTGCGATCTATGCACCTGATCTTTCGACTGCTAAAGAATCCCAAAGAAATGGTTTTAACTATTTTCAAATGGTGTCTTTTTACCCAAACCTCGAAACTCGAACCCGAAAATGAAAGAGCGCTTGCTGAAAGCGGATTCTTGCTGATTCTTGTCGCGTCCTGAGGGCGAAGTGCCTCTAGGAAGGAGAAACGCTCCAGCAGTTGAGGAACATACAGCTGCAAACGAGTCAAAGACCAAGAGACCTCAACGGTTGCAACAAGCTGGACGACACCTAGCTGACACGGCGACACTGGGCTGAACTTCACACACCTTCAATGCATGCACCAAACCTCCAACATCAGAAAGTTTCCGGGCGTGGCCATCCCTCGAGACTAGACCAGCATGGTTATCATGACAGCATGGCGCGGTGCCTGTACCACGGTGGCTGCATCATGCAATGAAACCTCCGCAGCTTGAAGGACCAGCTGTTTGGCTGCGGGCAACTCGGACTGGCGCGCGATATGACCGTCGCAGTCACTGGTAGACTTGAGGCCGGGGGTTGGTGACGAAAGCTAAGCTCCATCTAATCACATAGCCTCAAAAATCTCAAAACGGATGGGGATGCCCAGCATGAAACATAATGGTCCCAGACCGGATGCTATCACTATTATGCTCCCAAATCTGACACGTCCAAGAGGGGAGTTGAACCCACGGAGGGGGGGTCTAGCAGCGGACACTGGGTAACCGATTCCATCCCCCAGCCAATAGCTTGCTAAAGCAAGAGTAACTCCAGCTAGCTAGCTGAAGCTATTAGATGCTACTAGTACCTGTGTTAAGTCGTCTGGTCTTGTAACTTGCGTGACAATCAGCACGGATGATTTGAAGTCCAAACAAGATCAAACAAGTAGATTTGCTCGGTTTGCTCCGACACAGTCCACACCTTTTGTCCAAGCCGCACGCCGGGTACGCGCACCTCCAAAATGGCTGCAGCCCAAACGCATCGTGAGACATCCACCGATGAGAGCTCTGGGAGATGTTCCGTGGCAGCGGTCCTCTGTCAGAAAGACCGTGGCAGCTCTGTCATCTAGAAAGCAGTTCAAATGGTCGTCCTTGCTTTCCTTCCTGGTGAAAAAAGAACACACTTCTGCCAAGTCTCAGGAGTTGGAGGCCATTGCTATTAGGTTGGAGGCCATCAGACTTAGGTTGGAGGCCAAGTCTCAACAGTTCGCTTCCAGTCGCCCTGACAGTAGCTTGACACCACAAGAGCTGCGCGACCTCTGCCGGTCCACCACTGAGGCGACCGGTCCGGACGCCTGCAAGTCGGCTCCCGGCTTCAAACCGGAAGCTGAGAGCTCATGCAACAAATATGTAAAGACATGCAGTCCTGTACCTACCATTACCTACCACAAGAAGCAAATGTTCCAAAAGGTGTGTGACTGTGACTGTGTCCATCTTGGATGAATGATTTCAAAACTTCCTGCCGCCCCTGCCTGCCATGAGCAATGGTCCAGCACAGGCTCTGGTGACACAAAGTGCCCAAATCAATCCGACGGTCGGATGCTGTAGCCCTGAGGGGAGGACCTCCTAGAGGCCATGCTACACCCCAAAGCTGGGAGACGCAAACAACAAACAAGGATGACATGCAATAGCTTCTTGCTTCTAGTAGTAGGGTGCCTTGTTACTAGTAGCTTCTTGCTACTAGTAGTAATGCCAGAATACTAGTAGCTTCTTGCTAAGCATTGCAAACATGATCTCGAATCAACACAAATGCAAAATTAGAGTCTTCAGTTTTCATCCACTTTATGCCCTGTTGGGGTCACAAGAGTGAGCTCCATTTCCCCAACTCGAAGGAGCGCTTTTTCAGGTCAACATAGTTTTTAGCAACATCTGGAAACCGCTTGGCACATGCTTCTTCTGGTCAAACCTGGTGAACGCCCACAAACGCCGTCTGAACACCACACGAGGATCCTTCAATGGTCTCCACCATCAAAGGCGAAGCCTGGCCGCGCACAGCAGCCAATGCCCAAGAGAGGTTACACAGATCTCGTGTCAAAGGCCCACGCTGCAAGGCCTTCCAAATTTGTGACGCTGCTGATCCAATTTTGTGACGGTACAAAATAACGCCAATGCCATGAAAAAACGATCCGCAAACCTCTGAAAACTGCACAATATCTTTCGACATTGATCAAGAAAGGTGAAAAGAACTATCACCGTGTGGGTGTGTCGAATTCTCTAAGTACACGGTGCGGAACCAGCACCATGAAACGCGCCCAACAAATGAAACCAGCACCTGCTGGTTTAACTGTTTCAAGGCCTTCTGCACAATGATCTCCACGGTCTTTCGCATCTGCTCCGGCGAGACGGTGGCCAAAGCCTGGCTAAACTCCGCACTCTGGCGGTATCGGCCATAGCATGGCTGGCATATCCGGGCATGGCTGGTGGTGCAACTTCCACCGATCTTTGAATCCGATTTCGAGTTTATTGCGGTGCTTCCCCCCTTGTTTCTAGTAGCGATGGCCTCCAACCTAACAGCGATGGCCTCCACCTAGAAGCGTCCAAAGCTAAGACCTTCTTATATTGTTCTTATAAACACTTGCGGATCTGGAATCTAGGCTTCCTTCAAACCCACGACTGACACAGACCAAAGGAATCCTCTTGTAGGACAAGAAGCCCATGCGGCATTGGTCAGTTGCCTGCAGCTTGTCAGCTGATAACATCAAGCAAACAACATGGCAAACATCAAGCAATTTGTTTCTTCTTGTTTCTCCTAGTGATGCTTCAAGATCTCAGTGAAATGAGCGTCTCTACAAACATCAAAGGCCTTGCAGACTGCTGCGGCGCACAAATGGCTGCATGCTCTGCCAGGACTCTGATCAGGTCATTGAACCGCACTGCAAAAGTGCTTGCCTAGGCACATGGAACTTGACCCCACTGTAACTAGTCTGCGCCCCCCCAAACCCATCGCTGAATGACCATGCATGATGGTTGCTCAAAAATCAATTACAGTAGAGAGTCACGTGGCTTTGCGGCATATTTGGTATTTGGCTAGTCAGAAGTGATGAGGGTGCCTTTTAATGACGAAAAAAGGAAGAACTCTTACTTGCGAAACTCTGGGCCCTCAATTGCGAAAGTTTGGGTTCCCAATTGCGAAACTGGCCCTGTAGACTGAACATGTGGCCCACTATCAGCAGGTGTCACCTCTCCTTCTCTCTTTTCCCGTCCGCCCCAAACGATGACACACCTAGTAACGTTCTTGCTCCTAGTAGTACGGCCAGGAGCCCCTGGTAGCGATGCCAGCAGCCCCCAGTCGCGAACATTCTTACAAACAAAGAACATGCTCCAAACAATGATAAAGTCCTGTCCTCGTTTCTCGCAAATTCCCAAATCCTGTTGCTGCTGCCAGAAAGTAGTAGGATCGTGGTGAAGTGTTTCATCTTCTCGTGGTCACTTTTCCCAAACCTACCAACAAAAAGTATAGAAGCATTGAGTATTCCAAAAGAAAAGAGTAGAGTAACAAGAACACCTGTACCATAAACGCCTATGCTTGAAGTAGATTTATCAACACATGCGTAGTCTTTCCTGGCATCAACAGGGCCTCCGGTATGCTCAAAATGTGGTGTGACGGAAGCCTACCAAAAAAACGTTAATGGTACAGTCACAGCTTACAAATGTGATTGACATCGTAATGTTGCACTATCTACTCTGAACCTGCCTCTCTCATGTACATTATATTTCTTGACTCTAAGGCAGCTGCTGACCACAGGATGCTGGTTAAGTCTTGCGCTTTCCTCGGGATCTTGCTGCCAAACGAGACAACGGTCTGCTAACAAAACGGCCCCTTGGCTTCTGAAGACTGCAGGCAACAAAATAATATGGCCGGTTCGCAACATGCACCCTCCTACCGCCTCGAAACCCATTGAGAAAACCCAATTGGAATCTCTTCTTAGAGTCAAGCCAAATCACAAACATGATTTCTATAGTCTAATAGTTGTCCAAGAATCAGTTCACTTGCACGCAATTTGGCTTCATTGGCCAGGACATCGACGACTTGAAGGTTGTCACCTCGTCAAAAATGAACCCCAAAAAGCTGCTCTTCAGCATCACAACCCCTTCAAACGAAAAAAGGCGGTCGGTTTGACTGAATTCAGACCAGGACCTTGGAGCTTGCTGATGGCCCAAAAGCAATTGGCCAGGCCCTGTGGAGACATGTCCTGAGACCAAAGTGTGGCACGTCGATGAGACTTAGACAGAACACTCAAAACACCTCCAACCTAATGGCGATGGCCTCCAACCTAGTAGCGATGACCTGCCAAATCGAAAGACAAGATCGACAGACAAAACCATACATTCTAATTACATTTATTGTTTCTACTAGTTTCTTGTTATTAATAGTAAGGCACTTGTTACTAGAAGCGATGCACTTGTTACTAGTAGCGAACATTGTTTCTAATTCCTCATCCACCTGGACCCGTGTTCAAACGTCTCCTGAACTTGGCGAGGCAATTCTTCAAGGAGGCTCTTGGCCTCACGTCGATCCCCGGCGGAGCTTCTTTTGGACATGTGGAGGCGAACGAAGGATCGAGTCAGGTGATATTCGCCTCCACGAACACGGCCCACCGTTCGTGAGCGAGCGATTTGGTCGTGGATGGATGTTTTGCAACTTTCACTTTTCACACATCCCCTTTCACATTGGGCGTTTTGCATTTGACTTTCATTTTTCCCTTGCAACTTAGGCACCCAACCTCTGTCTCTCTGCAGCGGGCCACAGACCAAAGCAAATTGGACAAGTGCCGAGCAGAGAACTCAGGCCTATAGGGAAAAGGATGCTGTCTTGCTTGCCCAAACTATAATTAGTTAGTCTGCGTTCTGCAACCAGCAAACAAAGCCAACAAGAGACTGAAAAAAATTCCGTTTCCCAACAAAGCCACGACTCCAACATATTCCAGCTGTCTCAGTTCCAGGAACTACACAATCAAGTCACAAACTGATAACTTGCATAAACCCTTGCGCTCCTCTGCAGCTCCGCTCTAGACACGAGGCGGCGCCACAGGGCTTGAGTCCCTGGAGCCTATCACATCAGTGACATCTCAAGCATCCAAGGGCTGCCCAATCCAAATTTCAGAGCAAATTTCAGGCGCATTAAGGATTGAATCATTGGTCTTTCCCGTACAAGGAGTGCTCTTGTCTTGCATGCCGAATCTTCTAGATCAGGTCAGGGATGTGCTTGAAGTTGAAAACAAGCGGAGTTTCTATGGCGAATCATGAACGAGGGATTGTGAAACATGATGATAAGGCGAGCTCCGTGGAGATGAAACAGTGTGAGGTTTGGCAGAAACTGGAGTGAAAACAGAGACATGCAATCCTGAAAACATGGAGCCAAAGTTGTTGGGATATTCAGGATCTCAAGTTCCGATTGAGGGGCATTCTCAAGCCTGCCAGTGCAACTTGCCTTAGATGTAAAAAGTGTGTTTCTGTGAGCCTAGTAGGCATGAGAACTATGTGAACTTTGAACACATAACATCATGTGCGCAAAAGAATGTACCTCGTGACATGCGTGGACTGGATTGGTTCGCCTCAAAGCAGCTTAAGTTTGACCGGTCGATCCGTCGACCAGCCGCCTTGTGAAGCTTCGCCAACGACCAGCAGTTGATCGCCTGAGGGGATGTTGAGCAGTCGGACTTTCATGGTTCACAACGATTTGCCGTTGCTCTTGAATGTTCGCTCCTCCCCCTCGTGATGTGTGTCCCATCTAATTGAATATTCTAATTACTTGAGAAACTATGAAAACAACTATATATATACATCAATAGGGAGAACTGGCTAAGAGGCAGCAAAGAAGATTGAGAGCTAAAGAAAGGAAAGCATTGATCAAGACTCAAGACTTTGAACAGGTGGATGAAGAGAGATACAAATCAAGGATGGAAGGGGGCTGTTTGCAAAGAAACACTTACCGTATTGGAAGGAGCAGGTCATGAACAATAGGAGTAAGTAATCCACTTAAGATGGGCAAAAAAAAAGTAGGAAGAGGTTCGAAAGAGGAGGAACAATTCTCAAGAATAGACTTCTTTTGGAATGATAGAATTTGAAGAAATGGGCAGGAAAAGGAACACAGGAACCAATCAACAAAGGCAAACAACTTATCCGGAGGGACAAGAACACTAGGAAAATCAAATACTATTCAAACATCTAGTACAGCATAGCGACAGCTACAACAAAAATTATATATGGCATAAAGGTTCTTGGGACATATCAAAGGTGTTTGATTCAGAACCCACTGCACAATCAGAAGCAAGGAGTAAGGAGGCCACAAACAAACAATCTATCTACGAGGCAAACATGAGCTAAGAGTTTGCTGCATGCTGCATGCTTGTTTCTGTTCTGTTTTTTTTTGGTTTCGTTCTTTTGGTCACTAAAGAGGAACCACAGCCAGAAAAACACACACAAATTCATGGGAGGTAGGGTCTGTTTTCCTTGAATGTGCGGTTTTTGATGAGCTTAGTCAATGGACAAGCCGCAACAAAACATCAAGAATACATTGCTCATTGGATTTGGCACATAATACACAGTGTCTGGTGTGGTTATGTTTTGTTAAGGAAACAGCTATGCTGAAGCACAATTATGATCTGGTTATGATTGTTCAGGAGCAAGGGTCATAAATAACCTATAGAGACATATAAGCCTGAGAAGGGGGGGACAAAAGCCAGATGCCGCTTCAATACGTGGGCCCCTGTACGCGGGTCTTTGTCCCTACTCGAGTCCTCTATGCCCACTGCCCAAATAGTCTCCAAAGCCCTTCATGATGCTAATGATGCACTACTAGGCGTCCATTACATCACTTGCATCACCAAGCCGCTTTTTGGAGCTTTTTTGATGCATTCCGGACCCAACTGTTTTTCGCTCTCCCCCACCAGGCTCCAGGTTCGGCCTCCAAAATCAGGCTCTGTGCGACCACCCCCCCCACACCCCCTTTATTCACTTCGTTCACCCTAAGAACTCAAGCCTTGCCTATCGGCTAGCTTTCGTGATAAATATAAATATAAATATATATAAATATATTATAAGAACGTACATATAGTCTGTCTTTGTAACCTCTTGTCCTCTTGTGTTTACAGCCTATATCCAATGCAATAGGACATCCCTACTGGTCTTCTGCAGTCAAAAACCATTTACGATTCTTCGATCGCATTTTGATTCTGTGATGCAATCTCTGTAGTCAAACTTGACGTTGGATCCATTTGGTTTCCCTCCCTGCACTGCCTCATGACCCACTGCTCTCTTGGCATATTGTCACAGTAGAGCTTCGCAACTTTCAGCTTGGTTGCCAGCATATCAACATCAAGCTTCTCTGGCTCAACGTAGGAGAGCAGTTCCTGCTGGGTCCACAAACGATGAGGGGTAACCCTTGAAGGGGAACTGTAAATGAAACATGTGAACTAATGATCGCCCTTTTCTAAAGAATTCTAAAGATGTGCCACAAATACCAACGAACAACAACCAAACGAAGAGATCTCCTGCAAAGCAGGCGGGGATGCTTGTTGTGTTGCCATACGGTGCAGGCAGGCCTTATTTGGAACCAATCAAGCAAGACTAAAAGAAAGCAAGCTGAAAACCACACGATCCAATTGCCTGATGACAGGCATTGACGCAAACCAAGCAGCTGCAACATGGATCTGATCAAAGTTTGCTTGTGACCGGAGAAGCTCCCAGGCTGCATGCGCACTGGGAGCTGCCTTGCCACCAGAACAGATTGAGTGCGCACTTCTGCAGGAGCCATTGATGAAAGGAAAGAAACATAGTGGCCAGCAACAAAAACATTTACTTCCTCTTTTTTTGCGTGCCATTACTACCAACAGTTTTCATTAAGGAAAAACTGAAAAGTAAATGCAACCATTAAACACGTAAACAGTCATCACTAGTAGCGATGGCCTTCAACCTAGTGGCAATGGCCTCCAACCTAGTAGCGATGGCCTCCAACCTAGTAGCGATGGCCTCCAACCTAGTAGCGATGGCCTCCAACCTAGTGGCGATGGCCTCCACAGTAGCGATGGCCTCCACCCTAGTAGCGTTAGCCTCCACCCTAGTAGCATCTAGTAGCGATGGCCTCCAACCTATAATGGCGATCGCCTCCGCCCTAGTAACGATGGCTCCACCCTAGTAGCATCTAGTAACTAGTAGCGATGGCCTCCAACTCCAACCTATAATGGTGATCGCCTCCGCCCTAGTAGCGATGGCCTCCAACCTAATAGCGATGGCCTCCAACCTAGTAGCGATGGCCTCCAACCTGGTAGCGATGGCCTCCAACCTAGTAGCGATGGCCTCCACCCTAGTAGCGATGGCCTCCAACCTAATGGCGATGGCCTCGAACCTAGTAGCAATGGCCTCCAATTCCAGCAATAACCCCCAAAGAACCGGCGAACCAACCTGCGGAACTGCCCTCAACTTCGAAAGTTTTGGCACCGGTGTTGACAAAAATGTGGAGAGCAATACACATATGCAGGTACCAGTACGCTTGCACTTTTGAAGTGTGACTAGTCTTCATTGGTGACGACTCCCCAGAGACTTTCAAGTTTCGCCGGGAGAAATGTGGCGGACTCAGGGACCTCGGACTTTTCGGATTGAAGGAGGACTCGAAAGTGAGGATGAACAGCATGGAAAATGAGGACGAGGAGGGAAAACAAACAAAAACACAAGCCATGACGATAAGGATCCAAGAATAAAATGAGAATGAGGATGGATGAACATGAGGCAAATGAAGTAGATGAGGAGATGAGGAACCCAGGCACTCCGGAACACCTGAATGAAGCCACCCTCTCACAACACATGAACTCGCTAAAGCAAGGGCAACTGAGGTGGCTTGAGCTACCTTTCATGACCTTGGCTCCAACATGAGTACAGAAACACATCCATGCATCCCCATAACTGCAAACAGGGTGCTGCAATATCTTGCGCCAACCTCCTGGCAAGAATCTGACGGACGATCGGACGACGGACGATCGCGCGGAAGTTGCCTCGAGCGGCGAGACATGATGAACGCATGGCTGCAGCCATAGCAGCCATGGCAAGTTTGGCGGCAAAGCTCGCACGCGGGGGGATCAAAGCTAGTAATTGGATCCATAAGTAGAGTATAATTGTACAATTGTATATCTTATTTAGCTGTTCCAATATAACAATTCATCAGTGCAACAAACACCTGGACCTGCGTGATGCCGTAAAAGCCTCGAGTACTTGTTTGGCCAATGCATTGTAGCCTTGATAACTTTGGCTGCAAAGGCGCTGGCTACGAGGACATGTCTCCTGCAAAGGCCTTCAACTATCAGGACTTCAGCTCAACACATGGCAGTGGAAAGTCTGTTCCTTGATCGAGACATACAAACAACGTAGAAACAATAAACAGGTCTAGGAGTCTAGAATGCAACCACTTTCTTTCCAATCGGACAACAACCAGTGGGAGAACGACTGCACTTGCGGCCATACCCTGACCAACTTACTCAGCACCATGCCTGAGCAAATCACAAATCAGCACGACAAAAAAGTTAGAGCTAGAGGCTTCACCCGTGAATCATTGACGAATCACAACCCTTTTAACATCCTCTTGCCTCGTACCCTAAACTTGAGCATGATCATGCTTGATCTGTGAAAAGCGGCTTTGAGCTTATCCAGACAGCGGCGACGGGCATTCACCTCGCACCGTGTAGAGAAGCGTAGTTTTGTCCTCACCAAAGCAGCCACGTTGTGCACAGTTGGCAATATCACACAATGCTCCACGGTTCCCTCCTGCAAAGGCCAGGAAATATGTCGAATCTTAAAGCTGTTTCGTACATCTAGTCCTTCTTTTAAAGAAATTTGATTTGCAAACTTCCCTCTGCGAAACAATCCTGTTGCTCTTTGCTACCCATCTCTGTCAATCAGCTGAAGTAAACCTAACATGACAAGAAACTCTTAAAGTCTTTGCAAAAGCTTTGCTGTCCTAGGACACATTTGGCAGCTGCATGGCGATACTGGTTCTTCACGACCCATTCAGGGATTTTCCCTGTCCCATCCGAATCCTCGGCTATCCCGAGGGACAAAGCTGTGTGGCAGTTGGCAGGATTTCGATGGATTTCGGACATCTCTTTCATGACTCATATCCCTCACAACACCTAGGACCTCGGAGGCATAGTCGGCTAAAAAATATGCCACTTGGGACAGGCAAGCATCGATCTCCAAATTGATCATGAATGTTTCACTCACATATGTCTCATTTATCATGTCTTGCATTGATATATTGAAATAATCCGGAATGCTCTTGGACAATTGCTCGCAGGTCTCTTCGGAAAGCTCTTCCAAAAACGTGAGGTTCTTCACCACAGCGAAACGTGTTGCCCATGGTAGGTCGTACCAGCCCATTGCAATGCAATACAGGTCATCAGCCGGAAAGTAATGATCGCGGATCACCACGGTCCGCCCATCAAAAAAGTTCAGGGTAACTGGTGTTGACCATGAACGATTCAGAATTTCGGAATAGATGGGAGTAAGCCTCTGTTGTCGCATCGAGAGATGTCAAGCTTCATATGACCATATGGTTTAAAAGGAACAAAAAACATCAGCACATCAGGGAAACACTGCACAGAAACTTCAACCACAAAATGCCAAGAAACCATGATGGATAGTAGCTGGGATCCCTGGCTCTACGACCAAGAGCACATTCGCTCAAACAATCAGAAAAATTGCCGAAGACACAATAGCCATCTTCACCATAGCGTGCCATCACTTCCAGGACGGGGTCTTCCAGATCCTTTCTTAGCGTTCATGAATCTGATGGGACGGTTCTTCCTTTGTCACATCCCTAGCAACGAGTAAGGATGCCTTTTATCATACCTTCCAGCTAACCAGTGCAAGTTTGACTTCCCAATTGGGGATATCAAAAACTAAAACAAAACACGCGCAAAGCCACGTCAAATTTCTACTGTCGGATCGCTACCTCTGGTTTGTAATGGTTTGTGGCATTTTTAATGGATCATGCTGATGCCGCTTGATGGTGGCCAGTTTATGTGGGAGATGGTAGATGCGAGAAAACAAGTGACACGTCAGGTCCTTCACAGTAAGTTTGTCATCGGTCACACAAATGCCTCTTGCTGCGAGCGCTGTTTCATTGTGACTCCGTTGCGAGGTGGTGTTCAAACCCACATGTGTCTGCAGGAACTGCAAACTCTGGAGCACCTAGCACCACAGTGACATTCATTCAATTGAACAGTTGAAGAACATAAAAAACATGATCACCAGTGATTCACTGGGTTCTTCTCCTTTTCTCCTCGCCTCATCTTCTGCCTTGGCAAAGAGGAACCCAACTAAAATAAAAATGTAAAGTGCCATTGCTGAAGGATGTCAGCTGCACTGATAGAGCCAGAATGTTGACGCGAAAATAATCTAGCATGGCGGGGAGTGGAGAAGGCAGTCCATCATGTCTGTAGACGGCCTCCAACCTACTAACGATGGCCTCCAACTCCAACCTAAGAGCGAGGGCCTCCAACCTACAATAAAGAATGATAACTGCATCGATTAATTACTGGTTTCATTAGGTCGCATGTCTGCTTTAAATCAGGAGTTGACTTGAGGGTCCTTGGGATACATTATGTAATTCTAGCTGCAGGTCTACTTGTCAAACTCGGAACGAGTATTTTTACATACATTATATATAGTTTTAGTGTGCTTTAGTTTCATTGGTTCGACACCTTTCAGCCTGCATTCACCAGCGAATCGCAGAAGGCGGTTAAAAGCAACAGGCAACAAGCACATACCAGCGAATCTCCCCTTACTCGTGAAGCAAATAGTCACCCATTCTTCACGACGTTTTAACTACCTGTTGGAAACACATTGTGAGTCAGGCCCCCGGAGCGGTGCCGGCCATCACCGGTGAGAAGCGTCCTTGCTCCTAGTAGAAAGGCCAGGAGCCCCTAGTAGCGTCCTTGCTCCTCTGTAAACTGTGTAAACATGTGTAAACACGTACACCCAAATCCCCAATGGCCAGTGATGGCCTAGGTTGTAGGCCATCGCTATTGGGTCGGAGGCCATCGCTTCATCCTCCTGTGTCTTTACCACGACCAGGTCCGACGATTGCCAAACCAACTCAGCAAGGTGAACACAAATCTCTCATGGAAAAAGTGACAAGACTTCCTCATGGATCCATCATAGACATCAAGTTCAATTGATATTTGTTTGTACACGATAGCGCCATACTCCTTCTCCCTTCATGTCCCCTTACACCAGCTCACCACATGACACGATCCTTTTAACATCCTCTTGCCTCGTACCCTAAACTTGAGCATGATCATGCTTGATCTGTGAAAAGCGGCTTTGAGCTTATCCAGACAGCGGCGACGGGCATTCACCTCGCACCGTGTAGAGAAGCGTAGTTTTGTCCTCACCAAAGCAGCCACGTTGTGCACAGTTGGCAATATCACACAATGCTCCACGGTTCCCTCCTGCAAAGGCCAGGAAATATGTCGAATCTTAAAGCTGTTTCGTACATCTAGTCCCTTCACATGATCGTTGGTTAGAATTTGTGGAAACAAGCGCGTGTCTATCTCCCAGGACATGTTTGTTCTTAAATCCCAACATGATAACAAGAAGCTACTAGGGGCTCCTGGCATCGCTACTAGGAGCAAGGACGCTACTAGAAACAAGTGCATCGCTTCTAGTAACAAGTGCCTTACTACTAGTAACAAGAAGCTACGAACGGGGGCTCCTGGCATCGCGACTCGAACGGAGCGATCGGACGCTATGAACGTCGGTCGTGTCTTCCGACGGTTCGTCCTCGAGAAAAGGAGCCTACTCGACAACTGTCGACAACTGTCTGATCGCCAAGAGGAGCAAATCTTCAAGTCTGAAAGATTCGAGGTTCCGCAGCTCCAAATGATATATACTATATAAATGTATTGGTTTCGTGATTTTTCTCTGGGGTTTGGGTCGGGATGCTAAGATTCTTGTTGACACTAAAGAGACAACAAGTGCTTCTGTGGCTGAAAGAGATGTTGTTTGCGATAGGCGTTCTTGAATCGGTGGCCACACATCTCTGGGCTGTTGACTAACCAATTTTCAATGCCAACATAAGGCGCTGTACTCAATTTTAGATCACTCATTAAGGTCAATGCTGCCGTGCCTGTGACTGTTGGCATGACTGATAGTCTGTCACAATTAGTCACCATCGGGGTCTATTCGATAGTCTGATGGTCGGAGCCCATGTTTTGACCGAAAAAAACTTGTGCTTGGCTGTCCTAGGAGACATTTGGCAGCCGCGTGAAGATACATGTTTCCCACGACCCATTCAGGGACTTTTCCGCCTCCATCCTTGGCTATTCGGCAATTGTTCCATGATACACAACAAACCTGACCAGTGGCTTGCAGGCTGTTTCCATTAAAAAAACAAATATCCAACCTATTCCTCACAACACCAAAGCGCATGTTTGGTTTGGTTTTAAATATGCCAAGCTGGACAGATAAGCATCCATCTCCAAATTGACGAGAAACGCATCAATCACTGCTGTCTCGTTTCGCAAGTCAAACATAGCAATATTCAGGTAATTCGGAATAGTCTTGGACAATTTCTCGCAGGTCTCTTCAGAAAACTCTTCTAAAAAGGTGAGGTTCTTGACCACCGCAAAACGTGTTTCCCATGGTAGGTCGTACCAACCCATTGTGTAGCAATATAAATCATCATGGGGAGAGGAGTGATCGCGGATCAGCAAAGTCCGCCCATCATAAAAGTTCAGGGTAACTGGTGTTGCCCCTGAATGATTCAGGACGTCGGCATAGATAGGCTGAAACCTCTGTTGTCACAAGCATAATGGCACACTGACAAGCGTATATAATATATAAGAATCAAACGTACGCAACACAATGGCAGACCTCTGTTGTGTTTTCCACCACCCAGTCGAAACCAAGACACGCCGATGCATAATAGCTGGGATTCTTCGCGCTACGGCTAATAGCGCACGTTCTCAAATCGTCGGAAAAGGAACCGAAAACGCAATAGCCATCTTCGCCATAGCGAGCGCTCACTTCAATAATTGGATCTTTCATATCCTTTCTAGCGAACAATTCCGAGGCAATTGATGATTCAGAACGAGATCAGCACAAACAAAAATAGACTCGACAAAAAAACAAAGCACCTTTGTGTGCCCACCAAAAAGAAGATAAACAAAGCACCTTTCGGCTGCACTCGGTGGAAGCACATGACCTTTAACCTATACTATATGTTTTATTTGTAATGCATGTTTCCTGTGGTGAGCGTCATGATTGCGCACTTTTTGCCGGCATAAACAAATACAGTATATACTGTAACAATACATACAATACATGCATATTTATATATAGTCAAACACATCTATATACATCAAACAGCAGTCTTATGGTACATCACTATGTAATAAGCCTCACCTAAAGCAAACAAATAGGCATTAGGTGATTACGCTTTTCCTTTCTTCGGAAACTTCAGGAATAGTCTCTTGGTTGCCTACTAACGGGTAAATAACTGATGATGGTGACAGAAAGAGTGGGAGGGAGATGCTTCAAGTCGACAAAGCTCCTTCACAGTGAGCTGGCTTTTGGTTGCGCAAATGCCTGCTGAAGGAACATGATCGCTTTTGGGTTGCTTCTCATCGTGACCCTGCGCTGAGGCGTTCAAGCCGACATGCGTCTGCAGGAATTGGCAGCTCAGGGCCTAGCGTCGGGCCAACGATTGAATTCTTGGAATAAGTGACACCTTTTTGTTTTCTTCTTTATTTGTGTTCCTTATTATCCCTCCGTCTTGTTGTTTTAAAGGTTATAGTAGTAGCTATTAGGTACTGTATGCTCCTAGGTAGGACGCAGGATAGCTGCACAGCTCACGCTCACACTAATCATTTGGTTTCAAGGATGTGTTTTTTAGCTTGGAATTAAGTGACACCTTTTTTAAATAGCCCGCAGCCTGCTCCCCTACTACTTAGTTAAGTAGAGACTACCGCTTAATTGAGTAAGGGCTAAGTTAGCTACTAGCTACTAGACGCAGGATAACTCATCCAAGGGGTGAACGCTTTGCCTTTGACCCTCCCTGCCTCATCTTCTGCCTTGGCAAAAAGGACCCCAATAAAAATAAATACATGGAGTGCCATTTCTGAGGGGTGCCAGATGCACTGATAGAGCCAAAACGTTGAGGTGCATGTAATTGAGCATGTCAGTGGCCGTGTGAACGTTGCTTTTACTGAAAAAACGCTCTACATCAGTGCCTTCGTGGCCCACGTCCACAAATCAGCGTCGCTGAGTCGATGATAAACGTGTCCACTTTGCTGTTTCTCAACATCTCGACCCGCAACCAATAGAAATCATGCTTATCAAAAGGCGAGAGAGAGGATCGTCACAGAGGTAATAGACCTAGCAATGGGCGCATTGATCTGTGCCAGTGTGTAACAGCGTGGCGCGCCAGCAAATACCGTAACAGCATGATTTCCTCTGAAATTTGCGCCAGGTAAAAAAGGGCATCGCTGCTAGAAGCAAGGATGCCACTAGTAGCTCCTGGCCTTGCTACTAGGAACAAGAAGCCACTAGGAGCAAGGGCATCGCTGCTAGGAACAAGAACGCTACTAGGGGCTCCTGGCCTTACTAGTAGGAGCAAGGACGCTACTAGGAACAAAGGGCATCGCTACTAGTAGCAAAGGGTTGTCCCTTTCCGTGAACAGACCGCCTCCGGCAGCTTTCTCGTGTTGTGAATAACTGATGTCTACAAACACAACAGCGATGGCCTCCAACCTACTAGCAATGGACAGTGCAAGTGCGCTTTGAAACCAACAACTTCGAGATACCGCTCTTGCACAGTTGTGGTTTCGCAGTCGCGACGCTCTCGATGTGGTGCACATTTCAGATGTGGTCACCTTTCGGTGCAATCCTCGTGGCTTTTGGTGGTTTGAAGTCAACTTTTCGTGACTTTTCTGCAGAAAATCAACTACGAGCACAAGCTTTTACGTACCGAACAACGACCCAGCGACACATGTGTACCCTGTTTCTGAACCCTTGCCTCACGGCCTGAAGAACCCCTTAGTCACCAAGACATTTCTACTGCAAGCTCGATGCAGGTTGCGCGCTCACAAGCACGTCGCAACTCAAAAAACATCACATCCGTGGAGGTGGTTGTGTTGGTTGCCAGGTTTGGATTTCCGATGAAAAAGGCGAGAGACTTTAAAAAGTGGAGCGACGACAATGACTTAAGATTGAATATGATGGAAGCCACATGCAAAACTTTGTTTGATAATGTTTGATAAATTCAGACTGTTCTAATAAACCCTTTTGACATCAGCTTCACAAACATCAACTTGCAAAGTGTTGCCAGCAGTTGTGCAAACAAGCATGCACACATTTCCAAAAATCCTTTTTCGAAGGCCTTCAAGTCTAAGTCGGCTCTTAAGCCATGAGTAGATATTCCACTCGCTGGTAGAATCTGGTCTTTCTCCGTGCCTAGAGATCCAGTGTGGTGGTCTAGCGTTTTCCTTGCCAAAGTCTCGAAACTTGACCAAACACGGTATCTCTGGGTCCCAGCAAGAATGGCACATCAAAACTCCAAACGGCTGCCGCATCCTATTCAATCCGTATCGGAAAAGCCTTGAGCTACAGCAAGGAAGTACCGCAATTTGCAAAGTGATTGCATGGTTTGCACCTCCGCAGGCTGTGCACGCAGCCATCACGGCCGGATGGTACTAAGGAGGCATCGGCGTCAAGATGTACCCATGGTTGCCACGTGGGTTGGCCTCCTCCATTTCTGCATCGGACTGTGAATGTCAACTGGCTTCCAACCACCCGAGATGAGTCATGTCTCCAGGCCACAATCCTTTGTACAAGATAACTCGGCAACAAGCGCATTGCTCTGAAAATGAGTTCCAGCAAAATGTGACTTCTGGGCAACGGTATCTGAAGAAAGTCTTTTCGAGATAATTTTGGAGATTCGACAGGCAGGGAAATATGCTTGCATACTCGCAATTGCACATGTAGAGATGTGTTCCTCACATCTTTCATCGCAAAGGTGAATGAGGTGCTGCCGGAACAGCTAGCAGCAGGTGCACACAGTACAAAGAAATCAGCAGCGCAAGTCTGCTTATTGTCTGCTTTCAGCAACATGCCTTGCACACAGGCACGCCAAAAGTGCAGGCCTGAATCAACGAATGACCTTCATCTGCTCGGCTTGACAACTTGTTGCATCACGAAACGATTCCTTTTCCTGCACTCTCAAGCAAGCAAAGATTGCAAAACCGCAAATTGGGCGAAACACGTCTGTGTAAAACCACAAAGATCGATGACAATTTTTGATCTTGTAGTACATTGCAGTCCAAGGTATTAGGTTGGGTAGAGAATGTGAACATCATCCTGCTCGAGTCTTTCTGACACAGGCATGTTAGACTTGACGATAGAACACCCATTGATCGAAAGTCTGCTTTGGCAAAGTTCTGCATTTTTGCCACCTCTGAAGGTACCCCTGCAGATTCTCACTACAAGCTAGTAGAAGCCGAATAGATTGGTCGGTAGACCCACAATCTGGGACTCCTCATGCATATTCTATGAGGGACTGTATCAGACAAAAACAAAAGTAGCGTTGTTCTTGCCTGAGTTCGCCTGACACCACAATCAGCTGCCGGCTTGGCCTTGCTCAGGTCCCAGTTCAGGCATCATGCCTTTGATTGTCATAGATGCACTCTTTTATGTCACAAAAGGCTAGTGACGGAGACCAAGCAAACTAGTCAGCTGGTGGCTGGAGCTTCTCTTGCAGAATGTAAGTAGCCACCTCCCTACGCAGTAGCACCGGCGATCCTTTTTTAGTATGTTTTTGTCGCTCTTGCCTTAGCTGGTCTGGCATCACCTACCAAATGCTGGCTCTCAAATCTTCATGCCTGCGAAATCATACCTGGCAAAGCATGTGAGCGTCTGCCAAAACGTAGCTAACGGACAGGACATGGTGCCTGGCTACTGGCAATCAAGCAGCCTGGTCTCCTGCTCAGGACTTTGCCTTGCTCAGGACCCAGTTCAGGCATTTTGCGTGTGATTGTCATAGATGCACTTTCTCTGAGAGACTGGCACTCGGCATGCAAAAAAAGGGCACGTGAACAGCACACCAATTTATTCCAGAAATGACTCCGCCTAACTTTGGTTGATGATGATTTGTACTTTTTCCTAAATCCCAATTCGCAGTAGAAATCAACAGCGATCCTCTTACACTATATCCGTTGTCGCTTTTGCCTTAGCTGGTCTGGCATCACTACCAAATCCGCCGGCCCTTGGGCGCGGCGTGTTTTAGGTGATTGGTTTGTATGCTATCCTAGTAGTAGTAGTTTTGCTGTACCCACGGCGCGGTTTTTTCACAAGTCTAACTTTCCCCCCCCTCCCCCTCCGCTCCCCTCAGCCAAAAGGGCCGGCGGAACAATCCGCAGGGGTAAATACTGGCTTTGCCCTGCTCAACTGAGCGAGCGCAAAATTTGCCTATTGCACAATGTGCGTGTATGTGTCACCCGAGTTGTGCGCAATGTGGACAGGAATGCTAGGTTTGCACATTGACAAGTTTTTTTTTCAAGAGTCTGCCACTAGTCGCTAGAGCCTGGCCTTGACAAACATGGCCAGGTGGCTTGCAAATGATTTGTTGCGCACTGTTGCGCTGCACCCTTGGCAAACATGTTGGTTGAGCTGCAGGCGCAGAAGCGTCCTGTGAACGTGAGCTACCTGTGGGAGAGCACCCGTGAAAATCTTCAGCACTGGCGAGTAAATTGGCCAGTAGACATGCAATCTGGGACTTCTCACATGTTCTTTATTTGACATTATATTGGACACTGAGAAATAAAGGAGCATACACAATTCACATGTGAGCCGACTGACGTCAAATTTTCACCCAACAGGGTAGCACACATGTAAACACAACATGTATCTTCCAATTCATCTCAAAAACTAGGTTTGGAGAAATCCAAGAGTTCCGTTGCAATTCTCGAAAAGGCAGGGCTTTTCGGGGAAATTGCTTATCCTAGAATTTATGCAAAAGCTAAGAAATAGGCTGGGCTTCATCAGTTCCCCGTATCGTTCCTGCGCAGTAGAAACAGCGATTTGCTCAGTCCTGCCGCTCTTGCCTTAATTAACTGCCCTGCCACCACTCGACTGAGCGGGTCCAAATTCCTTTCAAACAATGCTTTGCCAGGAACAAACAGCACAGAAATGGTAGTAGACTCGTTGTTTCTTCTTGGAGGATGGACAAGCTTTCTTTGGCTTCTGGTGCAAAGTTCCCAGTTCTGAACTTGGCTTGCTTGGATCGTTCCTCCCCGCAAGCAGTGAAGGAAATTGCGTTTCCCGCATTTTCGAAAGGCTGCTTGCGCGCAGCTGACATACGAGTTCCGTGTCCAGCAATAGAGACAAAGATAGTTTCGGTTGTCTTGCACATGCCACCGTCAAGCATGGCCGAGTGCTTTGCATATCATTCCCAGACAATAGTCGTTCTTCCTTGCAAGTTGATTCTGGCTGCACCTTCTTGGGGATCTAACAATGATATTTTTCTTGCGATTGTCTTTCTCAGCATCGTCCTTGCAACTATCAAAATGATTATCTGGCCTCTAAATGGCAGCATTCAGAAATTTCGAATCATATAAACCGGTGTGTTGCAACGTGTGGATAAGAGTGTTTCGGAAAGGTTCCGCAGAGTTTTGGAACAGTTTGAGGCATCCCTGCACCCTGTACTTCACCAGCGAACCTGCGGACGAAGCGATTGCATGAAGGTTTGCTCGTTTCTTGGCTTTCATCAAGGTTGGTCGCCGCAAAGAGAAAGAGTGGAACCAGCCAACAGAGGGCTTGCTGCCTGACACTTCTGCAAAAGGTTGCACTGACAGGTTCGGATCGAATGCTGACGAAGGATTCTGCAACGTAAGTACAAAGGAGGTCTGGCCACAACAGCCGAACGAGCAACATTATTCAGGTCATTTCAGGTAGTGCCTGTGTGCGGCGACATAAACCAAAGTCCAATGATAGGAACATCTGTCAGTCTGTCAGGCCGATAAGCTTCGTTTGCCTGCAACAGTGTCGGCCCCATAGGCACTTCAGCGAAGTGAGCGTCAACATCCATATCTTTGCACTGAAACAGCAACAAGAAGTGTGATTTTCTTGGATTCATAGAAGTGCCATGGGCACATAATTCTCAAGTTTCTGTCTTCCCTCTGCATGATCACCACACTGTTAGAACACACGCCAATGTGACGTCAGCATAATTGTGGATCTTGTCCGGAACACGTGTCGTAGCTGCAAGGGCCTGATGGAATCCTTGATTTCCGAAAAAATGTTGGCGTCGCTTTGCCAAGGCTGGCTGCTCCACTCAGTGTGACACAGGTTGAACAAATCGTGTCTGCCAACAACAACTTGCATCAACCACGTATTCTCTGTGGTCCAGTCCACAGAAATCGATACTAGGAATCCACATGAATGGATGTCGGAAAGCAGTATATGTCAGTATGTCATCCCAATTCCAAGCGAAACATAACCCTGGATTCGTGAAGCTGAATGGTCTAAAACGAGCGAGCCAACGATTTCTTTCAAGACTGGCCCGAGGTTCAATGAACTTTCTGCGCTACAACCTGACAAGAATCTTGTGTGGTCGTGTCCATGTTTATGACAAACATCTGTACCAAAAGCAAAGCAGAAGCAGCAAGCACCGGATGATTTTGTTTGCGCTACAAAGGCGCTTGCAGCAATCTGCTTTTTCAACAACCATGCCACTTCTGGAATTGGCATCCTTTCTTGCAAAACTCATCGTACATTACATGACATCTTAATAGTGCTTCTTTATGCTTTTGATTCATGATGGGCACAAGGCTGAACAAACATTATTTTCCAAAGGGTTAATATCTTGTGGGAGTTTCCTCAAGGGAGAACAAGAACTGTCAAACATGGAGAACTCAAAACACACAACGTGCAGGATTGGACAAGTCCTTGTTCTGCGTTTCAAACCAGGAGCTCCGAACGACTACTGGACCAGTTGCAACTTCTGCACGTGGCAAGACCGGTCTTTTTGAGTCGTCTCTGGAATGGACAGCCATGCGGCGCGCATCTGTTCTTCGCACCAACAGTTGGAGAAACTGAACCATCTGAGCATCAGCATCGCCTGATGCCTTGAACCCCATACAACTGCCTGACAAGCCTTGCCCCAAGCTTTCTGCTTGCCGTACAAGTGCCAAGTCATCATGCAAAGCAAGTATGCTGCGTCATATTCCAGAGGCAAAGCGGTTGTATATCTGATATTCTGTCTTCTTTGTGACTTGGCATCAGAATGGATACATTTGCATGTCCATTTGCAACAGAAACCTGCTTTGCTCAGTGTTGGGCCCAACAACGCAGCGTGGTGGCAGGCAAAACATTGAGCCCAACAGAAGAGATCATGGGAGAGCAAATCCCAAGGCTATAGCAATCTTAACCGTTTGTAGGAATGATGAATTTTTGATTTGATGCCAAACAGCTCTGAAGAACAAAATGCATGTCCTTTACAGTCAGTGCGAGCCGGATCATTCACACATTCTTGTTTGTCCAGGGCAAACTTGGCGAAAAATCATGTTGCACAACGATGAGTTACAGGTCTAGATGTCAAAAAAGAGCGGACAATGGGTGTGAACTTGCGTTGCCATGCTCTTCAATAGCCGGACGATTGAACCTGACTGTATGCTTTCCCTTGACTCACTTTGGATGTAGCTTTACTCCCAGTCTTTAATATTCATCTTCTCAACCTGAGTGAATTTGTGAATGATTGCTTGTGCGGATGAACTCCGATTCTACAAATCATCCTTCATCGAACGGAACCATGGTCAAATAAACGCAGGAGCAACACCCTGATCGCATTCCAACGAAATCGCAACATAAATTCTGGCATTGATGTCATGTTCACTCAGCACATTGAATGAAATGCCTTGAAAAACACGGCTGCTTCTGCACCGCTTCCTTGGCATGCAGTTCAAAGGTATGGATTGCACACATGCACAAATGTTTGCATCACTTCAACCCAGTGGAGTTTGGACAGAAAGCAAAACTGCGTTTCCTGTTTGGAACGTTGATTTGACACAGGAAAACATGCTACATAATCAGGGGCCAAGTGACAAATCAGGGCTGCCAACCAATCCCGAAGCGTGATTCAGTGCTTGACGAACCATGACATTGTTGGCACCTGCACCTGTTCCCTGTGCATTTCAGGTCTCGAGGAACATAAAACGCTGCCTCAATCCAAACTATCGTTGAATACTTTGCCCTTTGCGGTCGAAAGAACGCAACTCATGTCTCCAACCAAAAAGGCACCTGAGCGCAAAATCAAAGCAGGAGTATCAATTTGTTCATCTGTCCTGTTCGACCTGCATTTGTTGTAAATGTAGTCTGCCTGGTTCACTGCCAAATCCGTTTCCACGTGTTCAGTTTTTCCGCTTACCAGCGAGCGGTCCCACACATTGATGCACGATAATCACCCTCTCTATGGCATATGCGCGAGTCCATGGAAAGCTTCCTTCTTGTTGTTGGCTCCATTATCATAGTGCATTGGGACGAAAACTGCCTGTGCATATGCCGGCAATCTGCTTTCAATCAGCTGAAACCAGCAAAACATAGCCATCCCACAAATGCGATACAGCAGCACGGACAACTTGGCCCCAAAATGGTGAAATTGAAGCGGTGGGTGCTGTAGTATGTGGAGGGCGTCGCATCAAGCAAGCACATCCTTGGTCGCTGGGCTGTCAGCTTCAACAATGTTTGGGTTGCCCCATTTGTGGGTTTGGGGTGAATGCAAAAAGTAAAACCAACCAAAAGCAACAAACATCAAACAAATATGCTACAAGTAGTGACTCGCCAAGAGGCCAGGTCGAACATGTTCCAATGCCGAATCTTCCTCACAAGAAAACAGAGTGTCTGGAGCAGCGGCTTGCAACGGCCACAGCGGAAGTGGCGCAAGTGTTCCGAGCTTCTGACCGACACCTAGCATGCAATACCCAGCTTGTCGCAAGGGAAACTACAGGCCTAATCGGCGAGATGCTAGAGTAGCTCCATATATAATTCAAAGGTGCAGCCTGGCTGTTCACTTTCCCAATGGCACAGGTGTCAGCAAACAGCTTTGCAATTCTTGGATATGGCAATCATGCAGTGGGACATTCTCCCCATGGTCCGCCGGGCGGTTGGATATTGCGAGACGTCTAGAGTCTAGACCTTGCCGTATATATGCCCTGTGCCAGTGACCCGACACCTACCCACGGCACGCCCTGGTTTCGATGCTGCACATGGCATGGCAACCGTTGACTGGCACGGTCAGCACACAGGCGATCAATGCAGCAAAGCCCAAACAGTCGGCTGGTGGGTCCAACAATTTTATCTCAAAAAGAGCTTCTTTGAGAAGAAAGCTTGAAAAGCAAGAGGCCTTTTTGTTGCATTCTCCTTTGTAAAGCGGATGGTGAGTACCTCCAAGCCGATGGTAAGTACCGTGCATTTTGGTGACACCTGCTAGAGGCTGAGTTACATAAGGGGGATTGGCACCACTATGAAACCAGCTCAAGCATGGCAGGCTACAAAGCCAGCGATGGTCTGCATTTGGTCTTCTATCACTTCAGTGTCCATGTCCAGAATGC